ACCCTACCGGTCTCTCTTCTGTTTTTAATCTTAATGATGTGCATCCTTAGGAAGAATAACATTTTTGAGCATGCAACCCCAATATCTCTGTATTTATTCAACATCATGAACATGTATATATGCTATATACAACATGCATCAGAAATATAGAAAACGTCTTTTAGAAGAAAGAATATAATAACCTATTATGAACAGACACTTCTCTGAAGATGATATACAATCAATCAACAAATATATGAAAAAATGTTCAACATCTCTAGCAATTAGAGAAATTCAAATCAAAACCACTCTAAGATATCATCTCACTCCAGTCAGAATGGCAGCTATTAAGAATACAAACAACAAGTGTTGGCGAGGATGTGGGGGAAAAGGCACACTCGTACATTGCTGGTGGGACTGCAAATTGGTGCAGCCAATATGGAAAGCAGTATGGAGAGTCCTTGGGAAACCATTTGACCCTGCTATCCCACTCTTTGGTCTATATACAAAGGACTTAAAAGCAGAACATTACAGTGATTCAGCCACATCAAGGTTTATAGCAACACAATTCACAATAGCTAAACTGTAGAAGCAACCTAGATGGCCTTCAGTAGATGAATGGATAGAGAAAATGTGGTATATACACACAATGGAATATTAGTCAGCATTAAAAGGGAATAAAATCATGACATTTGCAGGTGAAGGGATGGAGTTGGAGAATATAATGCAGATGTGAAGTTAGCCAATCTCAAAAAAAACAAGTGCTGAATGTTTTCTCTGATTTAAGGATGATGATTCATAAAGGGGTGGGGAGTGGGGGCAAGGTAAGATTAGATAAACTATAGATAGGGCAAAGAGGAAGGAGGGAAAGGGAGGAGAAAGGGGGGTAGGAAAGACGGTGGAATGAGATGGACATCATTACCCTAAGTACATGTATGAAGACATGAATGGTGTGAATATACTTTGAATATAACCAGAGATATGAAAATTATGCTCTATATGTGTACTATGAATTGTGCTCTATATGTGTACTATGAATTGTGCTCTATATGTGTACTCTATATTCTGCTGTCATATAAACAAATTAGAACGTATAAATAAATAAATAAAAATAGAGTTTTTATATGAGAACACCTCACCTTTTCTTATTAAAAAATATATATATACATATTAAGTGATTGCAAGCCCTGGCTCTAGTTTAGCATAATTTAATATTACATTTTTTCAGTGAGCTCAGCTAAACAAGCTGCCCTCCACAAACATGCAGCTCTAGAAAGAGTCTATCAAGGCCTGAAGAAGAGTCATGATGCCCATACTCGGTTTTCACCTCCTTGGCCAATCCACAGGGGTTCACTGGTGTCTTGGATGTGTCACTTGCAGTGTTTTCCTAATGGAGATTTTTTTTCACACAGGCCTGCCAAGACCTCAAGGCCCAACACCCAGGTAGGCGGAGGTTTGCAGGGAATGATGCTCAGGAGTGAAGAACTCCAGACCTCTCTGCCCGATACTGTTGGAGCTGGTTAGCTTGTCATTTTTAATCTCAGTGTGTATCAAGAGATTTTTGCAAGGAGTCGGATCAGCATCATTCTGTGGTTTCCTGGTGTTTGCATTCTTCCTTGTTAATATCACCTTAGCTCACGATCCCTTCAGAGTTCTAAGGGGGTTTTTGTAGTTGGAGGTAGAGAACAATTTACAGATTCATATAATGTGAGGGTGGCCTCAGCCGGGCTGTGCTCTGGCTGCGCTCTTTGTTCTTGGTCTCTGAGTCACAGGAAGGGACTCACCAACTGTCTGACCTACGAACAAGTAAGGTTTCCAGGACCAGCCTGGATTCTATTTATCAGTGAAGCTTCATCTCTTTCTTCTTGTGGGCTTACACAATGGCAAGCAGAAGTTCTAATATTTCCTTTCCATTTCCTGATGGCTGTTCTGTGCACCCCGGAGAGAATACCGCCCACTTTGGAGGTTAGCCTTAAATAATAGAAAAGAGCTCAAGATTTTGAGGGAGAGAGACTTAGCCGCCGCCTCTCCCCACCTGGCTATGTGAAGGCCTGGGCTGCTTACTCCTTGACTCCAAATTGCCTATCAAAATTGAATATCATATGTCTTCCTTCTGTAGTCGGTCACAAAGAGCCAGGAGGTAATGAGTAGAAAAGTGTCAAACACCAGGATGACACACAACATCATCCGAGCTGCTTCCTTCCTTCCCTCCTAAATGTGGAACATGAGGAGCAGAGGGACAGAGGCAGGAGCAGAGCCCGGCTTTGGCATCTTGGTCCCCAGCTCAGGGCTCTCATCTCTGTTGCAGGCAACTTCTGACCAACAGGAGCTTCCAGGGGGAAGCACAGAGCTCGGCCTCGTTAAGCCCAGCTCCTGAGCCCATCTGAAGGCTTGTGGGCCTCCTTTCCTGGAACAGAAGCTGGTCCCAGAATCACTCCCCCATCTCTCACACTACACGGCCTGGCTCAGGTCACCTTCCCAAACCACTGAATTCCACCCTCTGTAAGAAGGGACCACGGCACACAGAAGGCACTAATTTCATAACTATCATTGTGAAACTAGAGTCTAACCTGGGTGGTAGATCGTGGAAGTGTGCATATGAAAAACTGCTCAACGTCATTAATCATCAGGGAAATGCAATTAAAACAATGAGATAGGGCTGATACAAAGGGAAACTCTAATGCATTGTTGGTGATACTAAAAATTAGGATGGCCGTTAGGAAGACTGTAGATGTTCTTCAAAACACTTAAAATAGAACTAACTACCATATCCAGCAATTCCAGTACTGTGTATGTAGCAAAAGGAAAGGAAATCAGTATGTCAAAAAGACGCTTTTCACAATAGCCAGCATGTGGAATCAACCTAGAGGTCCATGAGTCCATAGATGAAAAAACTGGATAAATAGTCACACACACACACACACACACACACACACACAGAAATACTATGTGCTCGTAGAGAATAATGAAACCCTATAATCGGTGAGAGCATGGATGAGCCTTGAAGACTTGATAATAAGTGAAATAAACCAGGTTCAGAGAGACAAATACCACCTACTCTCACTTTATATGTGGAAGCTATAAAGTCGATCTCAGGGAAATAGACTAATGGTTGTCAGAGCCCCAGAGGAGTTGTGGGGAGGAAGGAAGAGAGCGGAGGTGGCCAGTCGATAAGGGGGCAATTAGATTGAGGCATGACTTCTGACATTTGGATGATCACGATAATAATGTGAGGCTAACTGACAACCACGAATTCTGTATTCCACAATAACCAGAGGAGAGGACTGTGAACATTCCCAACATAAAGATATGGTAAGTGATTGGGGTGAGGGACATCCCAGCCACCCAGACCTGCCCATCACCCACCATGCGCCTGCATTGAAATAGCACACCGTATCCCGTAGATGTGTAAGAAACTTTAAAGTAAAGAAAAACGAGTTTGTGTTGCCTCCGCTCTGGCTCTTGGAACCAGGCCCAGGCTGCCCTGCTGGAGGGGGAGAACAGCAGCCTCCCAGCCCAGGCCCCAGACCTGTGCAGGAGCCCAGCTGAGACATGCCAAGCCTGGTCCAGTTGAGCAAGACCGCCGGGCCAAGCTCAGCCCAAAGTGCTTACCCTTAAAGTCAGGAGATGGACTTGTTGTTTCAGGCTCCTACATTTAGGAGAGGTTTTAATGGAGCAAAAGCAAATGGATAGATACCCATTATTTTGAACTCTCGTCTGCTGTTAACATGAGCACCAAACAAACTCGGGTTGTATAGACTTTGATTTCTTTGTCACTAACTCGGGAGACATCAGTTGTAGCCATTGTGAATGTGTACAGCTCCAGTCTGTTAGCTGCCTTCTGCAACGTCAGGGTTTGGATCTGCAGTACAGCCCCAGGTTCATGTGTTACAGGTTTTGTCCCTGAGGCCACAGTGTTCAGAGATGCAGCTTTGGGGAAGTGACTGGATTCAGAGGCTTCTGACCTCACCTGAGGGCTAATCCTCCAGTGGGTCCATGAGGGAATGGACTGTTGGACTGTGGAGGTGTGGTAGCTGGAGGAGTCGACCCCTGGGGACATGCTCTGGAAGGGTAGGTCTTGGATCCAGGCCCTTCTTCCCTCTGCTTCCTGGCTGCCGTGAGGAACCACACTCTACCATGATCTCTCTGCCTCGGTGCTCTGCCTCCCACAGGCTCAGCAATAAGCCAGCTTACCATGGACAGAAAACAGGGACCAAAATAAACCTTTCCTCTCTCTAAATTGTTTTCCCCAGGTATTTTGACACAGTGGTGAAAAGCTGACCAACATGGTAACCATTTCAATGATCCTGAGAAGAAGTCTAACATGAAGACCTTGTAGGTTCACATGTAAAATGTCATAGTCAGACCATGTCCCCCCAAAATGAAAGCAACTGTATGTTTGTTACATTCTTAAAGGGACATTATTACATACAAACAGTCTCAGTTTTTGAAATATCTTACAATATGTAGCTCAGGAGAGATGGCCCAACAAGTAGCAAACACACACATTTATCAGTAGTACACAAACAATTTTCACTCCCCATAGACTCACTTTTCTTTAAAATTTATATATCTAAAGAGGAATTGAAAATAAGTAAGATAGAAAGGGGTGTGGGAAGGATAAATTAGCATTTTCTAGATTTGTCAGCAAATGACTTATTTTCAGATGAACTAAAAGTTTGAATTTTTCAATTTGCAGGAAAAAATAATGAAAATCCTTTCCTCATTAATTCCCAGTATATAACCTTCCCTCCCCACCCCCTTTCAGAAAAGATGCACACACACACACACACACACACACACTCACACACTCACACACATATACTCTCATACACTCACACTCACACACATTCTCTCTCTCTCTCTCTCTCT